CCCCCCCCCCCTCCCCGAGCAAACCCTGGGAATTTGACCATCACTTGTGCTATTGTCAGGGAATTTGACCATTGCCTGGTTGGGCAATTTGAACCGAAAATGTTTTAAGTTTAACTTCTGCTCCTGGAACAGGCTAATGGTGACTGCGCATGGTCCTGTGGCCTTTCCAGCATCATAAACTAGCTGTCTTCCCTGAGAGTACAGTGGCCTTTTATCGCCTAACTCGCTACGCCCCTGAAGAGTAAGTATAATAGCATTCACAAGTCACATATTAAACCAACAAACTGTAATTTGAATAAATGTCTCTTCTCTATTAAAATTACCAGTTCTCCAGCTTACCTAAGCATGTCATCATTGTGACATTTCTTTGCATTTGAAACAACTGTAAATGTGTAGTAACATCATGTGACCATTTCTGAGTTATTATTCTTCTTTCCACATATTTTCGACGAGAGGCCTTTTCTCATTGCATCTTCCATTCTGCATCCAGTACATTCCGAGGTCATCATAAACTTTGGGTTCAAGCGGAGATTTTGCAGCATACCATTTACATATTTGACACATTGATAAATCAAGGCCGCCTCGAAACACCTTGTATTTTAGTCTCCATTTAAAGTATTCATTATAAGCAGTGTTATTTTTGTCCAAATACTGAAGGTACTCTGCCAGTTGTTTAACAGTTTTGAAGTCCATAACATTGATATAAGACCCCGGAATAGCTAGCTTGGAGTAATTGGCACCTCCCATCACAACTGGGATGACATTCATATCACCTGAAAGACAAAATAAAAACGATCTAGACATGATCTGAAAACTACCAAACTTTGCAATATTTAAATTGTAGAGGCCCATGACTGAAATGCTATTTACTAATGCTGTGCACCTGTATTAAGCAGTCAGCTATAAATTCACTGTCTTTGAAATGAATAAACCACAAAACCAGAGAGTTTTCTCGACTTTTCCCAGAGATAAAATGTTTCTGATCAGTTAGCTGTTTTGGGCCTTTTTACGACCGAAATGACAGATTTCCCTACCCTTTCATATACTTAACTAGTGAAATCCCTACCCTTTCATATACCTGAAGCCTGAAAATGGTACCCTTTTCGGGCGGAGCATCCCTGTATAGGGCATTATCGGGAATACCCCCGGGAACACTCTGTCCGGACAAATACGCCTGATTGGCAGGCGGCGCGCCAAAAATTCCCCTTACCTTACCATTTTAACGCTTCACCCCGCACGCAGACTAGGAAAAACAGGACTACCTTTCCGGATGTTCCATTGCTCCCGGAAACAGAGATGCCAATCTCTGGAGATCTAAAACCTGGATACTCTCTCTTTTATACACCCCCCCCCCCCCTTGTCACCGACCCCCCC